ATGTACATTGCAGGTTTAAAGAGGCTCCTACATTGTTTGCTTCTCTCCTCCCTACACTGATGCACGCCTTGAGATTGTCTGACAGCTACTGCTGCATGACCAGTTCCTGAAGGAAACGTTGAACATATGCTCTATTAGATAAACTTAAGGTCAGAATCCAACTCATAAAACTTACTGCATATCAACAAACAATAATAAAGAACAACTGAGCAGCTTTTCTAACTGTTTTCTGTTGGTTTCATTTCAAAGTTCCAGGAAAAAGTAAAAGAGAAAGTGAAGGGACAAAGTCAAGTCTTTAAATACTGTCAAATTGTGTTGTTCTCCCATCACTACAAGAAACAAAACAACATCCCCAGAATACCTAAACACTCTCTACAGGCCTCAGAGCTCTATTCCTATTACCAAACAATGCACTGAACCCATCTCAAGTGAGGCTGATGCAGGCTTGAGACTGTTCTGCTGCGTGCGACAGAAGAGCTGTAGCTCCAAAAGGTTTAACTGGACTCACTTTTCACCACCTGGCTTGTATCCTGTGTGCTGCTCACAAACAGTCCCAATGCATTTCTCACCTCCTCCACTTTTCCAGGACTCCACATTCCACCCACCCTGCACTCCCACGTGCCACAGCACCACAGCTGATGAGCCCAGCTCCATGACAGGGATGTTGGGCACTGCCATCCTTGCAGCATCACGTAGATCCCATCACACTGCTCCCTGCTAGATACCACTGGCATGAGGACACCCTACCACATCATACAGTGCTGTACGCATATTTTATTAAACATGCCAGCACAACACCAACAAAAGCTTCGCTATTAGAAACTGAAAGTTACCTGCTTCCTGAACATCAGCACAAACTGTGCTAAAGCAGCAGCCTACTGAGAAAGAGAGAAATGCATTGGGCCCTCTTCTTTCCAACACAGCAAAGAACCCAAAAACACCAGCCTACGTTTCTGTTTGTTACTGTGTACACACTTCCAACGAAACACGAGGTGATACAGATGGAGATGAGAGTCAGTACGTTTAAAGAAACAAACTTTGTATTTCAATCAATTGAAACTACTTGAAAATGCACTTCTTTCTCATGACAGAAAGCTTTCAAAAAATAAGTCAATAAAACTGTGTTTCAAATACTCAAGTCACTGAAGCACTGCTTTTCTAAACTCTTCAATGCTCATACAATCTTAATTTCCTTCAGATAACATGCAAAGCATCATCTCCACAGTTCATTTCTCTTGTACCCCATTAGAACAAAACAAGGCAAGTTTTAAGCATTCATGTCCTCCATGCAGTAGATATGGATGCTATGGAATAACTGGAGAGTTTTTAGTCAGAAGTAAAAAAAACCAAAACAAACACAAAATAGGCATAGCCTTTTCTATTACTACTAATCACATGAAAGCAAACAAAAAAGTATTTTTAGTTAATGAGCATGAGCACCAAGTTACCAAGCAAAGGACCAACAGAACAAAACTGTACAACCCTTGCAGGAAATCAGCCACACCAATAAGTCTTTTTAAAGCTCTTAAAAAACGTTTTGCTATGAGTACTTTAAAATATAGTAAGTCATAATATTTGCACCTGAAGCATAAAACATTTTTCTCTGCTGTACTTCAGAAAAGTAAGTAGGACTGGCTTCATTTTCCCTGAATAAGTATCTCAGGTCATACAAATCTTGTTTTCTACAACAGCAGAAAAACAACAGAAGAGAAAGCAGGTTTGCAACAGCTTTCTCCTAGACTAGCAGTTCCTTGAAGCCGATTACCACCAAAAGCTCTGAGATTTCATTACTCTGCTTTGGTACAAGCTCCAGTATGAGATCAATCAAATCAGACAGGTCAAACTCCCACACTCCAAACCCCTACATACCTGTCCTTGGAAGGTTACACGACTTCTGTCTTGCAGATGCTGACTAGAAACTGAAGAATGCCAGGGATGGATCTGAGTTTGAGACTGTGCCCGAACAATATCAGATGACTGCGTTACCGGATGCGGGGTTATGTGGTCTTCTAGGTCATGGTCTAAAACATGGCTTGTGCTATCCTGAACAAATGCAGAATCATCAAACTGTGGTAGAAGATCTTCCTGAAGGAGGTCATCTGGGTCGAGTCCTGTAAATGGTTCATTTGGAGCGTCAACTTGATGAAGTAAGTTATCATCCAAAGATGTAAAACCGTTGCTCTCAATAGGGTCAGTGAAATGGCTTATCTGAGAAGCAGAACCAGCAGAAGCTGGAAAACTAATACTCACAGGAGAGAGTTTTGAACTACTAAAGTTGCCCTGAGGATGCGAAGAATGCAACATTTGAAAACTATTTGAATTCAAAGGTGTATTAGCATTTAACATGTGCTCAGTTGTGTCTTGCTTGGTCCCCGTTTGAGATGTAAAGGCATCACTTCCAGTGAAATCAGAGATTGGATGTGTCTGCTGGCTACTAGAAAGAGCTGTGGTAGACTGAAGAAGGCTGGTAGGAGAAATGTGGTTATTAGAATAAGAATAAGGAGATGAAAATTGTTGGCTATTATTGACAGAACACGGAGTAATCGTTGGGGACTGTCCACCAAAAGTTCCTTCTTGATTCCCACAAAAATGTAACGAAGCACTTGCAGTTTGAGAAAACGGCTGAACAGACAGAGGCTGCTGTGAAGTTGAAGGATTAGAAACTGGAGGTGGGTGATTAACACTGACTCTGTGAGAAGTAGATACGCTAACTTCCAAGAAGTCTTTTGGCTGACTCAGAGCATCTTGCCCCGTGTTGCTCCTGCTTTGTTGCGATCGTAGCGAGGCACACTGATGCTGTGGTTCATTAGCCTGAAATAAGGCAAAGTCATGGTGTGCTACAAAGCTTTTGTTTTGCTGCATAGACTGAGAATGTCCTTGGTGAAAGGGGGACCCATTTTGATTTGAAACAGTTGTGGCAGTTTGATGACCCCACATAGGACTACCATCGGCCACATCTGGAAACATCCCATTAGTCTGGTTTTGCGGATGAATTGGTGAACAATTGAACTGAGAGTGTGGTGACAAGACGTTGTCTGTGGAGCTATTAAAAGACTGATTCACTTGGTGAAGTTTCAGGGAATCGTACTGATTCAGCTGTTCAAAGTCACTCAACTTTTGTTGATTCGGAGCATCCTGCACATGATTCAATGAGTCTATGTGCAAAGGTTCAAATTCTGCACCTAAATTTAATTCATCAACAAGTGAAACAGGTCCAGGTTGAACAAAGGCATCATCTGACAAACCTTCTAAGGTCTCGCTAAAAAGATTGGCATCATCAAAAAAATCCATCATAGGATCAGTCATCTTGATAGGTCTGTACTGCTATTTCTCTCAACTCCAAATGGAGTCAGTTTTGGCTCTCTGCAGTAAACAGAAACAAATTACATCCAGCAGTCACCACCTTATCCAAGGCATGCCAACAACCATTAGTGCTTCTGATGAAACGCTCGTCTTGAAGTGTTTAAAACATCCTATGGGAGAGTAAAAAAAAGAAAAAGAAAAGAAAAAGGGCAATTACACATAATTGCTTTGCATTCGAACACTCTCCTCATGTTGCCTCTCCTTAAAATACCAAATGGATTTTCGATATTTCATTTATAATTTGGTAATTTACTTAAAGCAAATCTATTATGAGTTATCCTTGCTGTTAGTTGATGCCCTCTACAGCTCTTTCAGTTTTTAACCATTACGTATTGAGTGTAACTTGTGATGTTTTAAATATACTGGTTCCATTTTTATCTCCCAGTTTGCTCTGTTATCTTAGCACAATTTCAGACTCCCCTTTGCCACTTTCATTGAAGCTACCAAATCACAACAGTCTACTTAATAAAATTCATTTTTCACTCACATATCATACTTAAGCAGCTGTAGAAAGAAATCATAGTATACAAAATGTACATAGTTTTCTATGCTCAAACAAGAAAGCTGAGAGGAAGTAAACTACGCTTCCTAATAGTTACCCCAGCCTCAGCAGAAAAGCTGAGATACTCCATTTCTTCCAGTTCTTACATTAAATAAGATTCTGAAACCAAACAGTATTTCATCTCACTTAAATAGGATTTTTTTCTGTATCTTATTTCAAGGAAAAGCAAGACGATGAGTACAGTGATTCAAAGATAAACATAGTCATAGAAATATCATAGAACTAATTTCAGCTCAGCAACACTTATTACCTAATCTTAAAACATCAGTTGTTTTGCTTTTTCATTTATAATATCACTGATCACCAACCAATTAGAGTTTCCAATCAAGGATTTCGTAAAAGGAGAGCACAAAAGGTTATTTCCACTTTTCTTATAAAATCCTGCACAATTAATATTGTGATCAAAGCAAACAGGAAATGTTTGAACAGAAACATCTCTTATAATTTACCTCTCCAAATAAGTAGAAAACATCTAGAATAGAGAAGCAGTCATTTTAAATGAGCATCTTCAAGGAGTAATCATTCCTTTACCCTGTCCATACACTTATCTGATTACCATAAGAAAAAAAAGTATTTAAAAAGAAGCCACACCTTTTAATTCCTAAAGCAACTGCTAAAATTCACCTCTATTTCAACTGCAATTTCTTACTAATTAATTCTCCAAGGAAAAAAAGTGAGCAAAATCCTCCAGAAGTGGACACCCTGGAAATCAGAAGTATTCTCCCAATGTATAAGATTCCTGTTGAACCTATTAAGTATAAAACAGTCTTTGACAAACTGATAAAAATCCTTTCAGCTTCTATTTTCAGTCCACTGAATGTGCTGCAATCATGGCCAAAATAAAACCTAACTTATGCTAATAAACTAGGCTGAGGTATCTAAAACTTCTGGTCCATGCAGAAAGAGAACAGATGGATACTGTATCACACTGAAAGACACCAAAATTAGGCACATCTATCAAAGTATGAATTAGTATGAGTATTATGTACCAAATAATGTTTTATTGCTAAGTTAAAAAAAATAAATCACACTACCAGCATGCTTTTTTTTTCCCCAATAAGAGAAGTACCTTTACCCCAGCTTTTTATTTCCACATCCCTACAACGCATTGTATTTCTTCAGCCCAAAGAAAAGCATGCCTGGGAACTTCAATACTTTGGAGAAACTGGCCCTCCAAATTTACTTAGCAACTGCTGTTTTTGCTTCTCTTCACCGTACTTGAATTTGCAAACATTAAACACTTAGCTTGCAAACTGTAAAGGCAGATGAAAGCAAGTTGTGGCACACTTTTGAATTAAACTAGCACACAAACATTATTTTTCTGACCCTACCTTAAAAAAAAATTTCTACCTTCTCATATTCAAATTAATGTAAGAGAAATGTTCTGACATGGAAATCATTTTCACATGTTTCCTGCAAGCGCTTTTCTTCCCCCATCTTCAGTCTCACTTAGAAAATGATGGTAGCTGTAGCTATGCTTCAGCACACTTCCACCCAGCCTTTCCCCTTCCCAAACAGATCTGTCACACTGATCTGAAGTCTGGATGCTCTTTTACCTTCTGCTGGCAGAAGAGCATTCTAGGAAATAAATATTTTGAAAACTTTCATCTGTTGGGCTTAACAATTACAAGTTTAACAATGCAATTACAGACAGTATTTCAAAGTACCAGTCCCCAAACACTTCTCACTCAAGATAAGCTCCTCTTGCAGTCACATTTTAATCAGAACAGGGAAACTAGTTTTGGACACTTACTTAACCAAGGAAACTATGGTAAAAGAGGCAGAAAATAACAAAACCTAACAAAACATTCCTAAAACTTGATTTGCCAGAACTAATTATTTCACATCAAAAAAACATCGTTATGGAAAATAATTTAAATCTCAAGCTTGATTTCTTTCTGTAACTACCATTTAGCATCTTAGTGCCCCACATAACCAGAATTTGCTTTAGAACCTAAATGAACTGTACATCTAAGTTCTCTACAACTACTTTATATTGATTTAACATTAATCTTGATCCAGCTTAAAGTTGGTAAGATCCCTCTACAACATTTATGCCTAAGAATTACTTCCTAGTACTGGTCCAAACAAAACAGAAAAAAATAGAAAACAAAAATGAGCATCACAATAGAGGTACAAAGTGACAAAGCAATTAGAAGTCTATGGTCTTTCTACATCAATTTAAGAAGTTACTGCCCCTATCAGCATGAAGTTCTTCAACAATAATTACCAACTATAAGACATTTTGTACATTTTTAGTTTTCCATGATGTTGCACATGTTATTTAATTATTTTAAACACTGTGGAACCTAGAGACATCTAGCAATATTTCCTACTGGTATTTAAGCTTCTCTTGTATTTTAACTTCTCAAGTCTGTATCAGTCGTGATGATTTTGGGCAAAAACTGAACAACAGCTAATGGGAAACATCAACAGTATTACTCAGACAGGCTGAAACATTCCAAGGTTCTTCATCTTCACATATTTTAAAGCATCTCTAGTTTAAACGTAAGTTTTTTTCAAACTGCCAACTCCACAATTCAGTGTCTCAACCAAAGCATGCTTTTTCACTTAAACAGCTGAAACAGTGGCTAGCCAGACACACAGTAAAAGCCACCTCAGAATGAAGCTATGGACTAGTTAGTAGAAGAGATTAAAACTGAAGCCATAAAAGCACATCATAACAAAAAGTCAGATCACGCGCAGAAGAAACAGAAGAGGTAAATACAGAGAGACATCACTGGGCAAGAGTTTTACAATGCGTGTATAGACAGTGGTTTGGGTTTTGCTTTGGTTTTTTTTTAGAAAGCAACGCAACAAGGTACAGCGGATTTGCTTCCAAATGAGATCTGCCAAAGACTGAAGAAGTACTGTTTGCTAAATTCTATGTGGGACACAAGAGCATGACATGCTTGTGCCTTTTACCATTGCCCATCTATTAGCAGGTGGAACACAGCATGAAAAGAGGTACTCACTATAATGCATTAAAGAAATACTCGAAAATCTGATCACTTCTGAATAATATTCATAAATGATAGAGACATTACCTCCCCAACAATAAAAATAAATGGCATTCACACTATCATTATCTGTCAGATTTAATTACAACCAAAGCTTTTGCTGTGTTCAAAAGCAGAAGTAAATTAAATACAGAAGTTATTTCCCACTGCAGCTCCAATATAAACGATAGTCTATTACAGTTTTAAAGATCAATGTGCATGTTAAAATTAAAAGGCACAAAGGAAGTGCACAACTGCCTCAAAATTCAAGCAATGTAGAAGATAAAAAAGAACATTTGGACATTCATTAGGGATGAACTGGTTTATTACCTAACTCAAAGTACTAAGCATTTGTGCCATAGTGCTGTGGCATCTATAGCTAAATAAGGATTGAAGAAATGCATTTCATCTCACTGGTATCACTAAAATTAAGAGAAAGTTTGATGAGGTAGACTGTTTGACTGAGAACACACCTAATTATTATTATTTTTTAAGACACACGCACAACTCCCTTCTAAAATCTCTCCCCTTTCCTTCTGAAGCAAGTAGCCCCTGGGAACAAATACTAAATGTTTAGAAGTAATTGTGAAGGTCATTCATAGAAGTTCAAGTCAGCCAACATAAAAAATATTTCACATGTAAATGAAATATATCTTTCAGTGTAATTAATACCAAACTTCTATCAGCACCAAAGACATCGACAGGCACTGTGTATGGGACAGCTTCTTTCTAGAAGCAGCTTTGCTGAAGAGCAACAAAGCAAAACCACACCAAAGAGAAAGTGTATCACCGAATTTTCTATATACATTTGCAAGATATCTGGAAGTCACACAGCAACTTTTGTACCACAGTTATACTTACATAAAGTCTTGTGATTAGCTTGGGTCAAAAATAAAGAGTTAACACATGCATCTAACAATCCATACTAAGTGTGCAATGAACCCACAGGATCTAAGTGGATAACATTTTCTCAACTAAACTTTACAAGAAATTTAAGAAAAAGGTTCAAGTAAAGATCAAAATCATCCTTACCCATGAATACAGAACACATCCCTTTAATGAAGAATTAAGAAGTTCAGAGATGCGCTTTAACTCCAGATGGGTACCTCATTATTAGAGACCTGAAAATGAGACATGATAAACCAATCACACAAATGCTATACTTGAAATTACAATATTATGCAAAAGCGCTACTCAGAACTCAATTACGTAATAGATACCATAAAAACAAGAGCAGCAGAAATAATTTACAACCAGTACTAGCCATGATGTTATAAATGTCTAGTAAATAAGGAAGTGAAGTGCCTATATTTTAGTAGCAGTCCTGGGGAGAGAAACAACCCCACATGGCTCTGCAAGACTGAGAAGCACAGTCTCTGCCAAATCAATGGAAGTTTAGAACAACTTTAGGACACAATATGAAGACCACACAAAAAAAATAAATCTAAGCCTTATGCTAAGTTTTAAAGCTGTATGTGCAGAAATCTCCATACATTTTGCTTTTTTGAAAAGCAAAACCATAGTTTCTGCTATTACAGTGACAGACGTACTTCCTAATAGTATCTGACACCAGTTCCTAGGGGAGCATACTTGCACAACAATTATTCCCCACTCCTCCCCTTGTCCATACGTAGAAGATCTCACTGTTGCAAGATTCTCTTTTAATCCAAAATAGGCTTGAAAACATTGGACACTTTAATAGAAAAGGTTTGGTTAGAGGAAGGGGGATACATAAAGGCTCTTCAAAAGTGCATTTTCCTAGATAATAGTATCTTTGTGACAAACTCTTAAGCACCTTACCTAGAATATTAATAGTTCAATCTTTAAACTTTTCATCAGCAAGCAGATTTTAATACATAGATTATTTACTCACGTCTTTAAGACAGCATTCTAACATATGTCAAAGACACAAACTGCCTATGACAGCTATCAAAAGCCTGCAACGTCCCAGTAGAAATTCTTGTTGAGTGTTATTTAGTACACAGATTATTACCTTGACCCTTTTTCTATTTTTCCATAACTTAAAAAACTTATTCTAGGGTTGCAGAACTACACGGCCTCCGCTCTCTGTTAAAAGGAACACTTAAAAAACAAGTTGTTTTCTTCCCCAAATTCATACACAATATGCACATACCTAGTAGGTGAAATTTCTGACAAAAATATTTTGATCTACGTTTATCATCTACACAATACAACAGCAATTGTATCAGAACAGGAAGAAAAACTGCTTCTTGAGGTTCTCTTCCACTTTAACTTCATGTAATGTCACACACAGCTCTCATTACACAGAAGTTCTCTTCACATCGAGACATTAGTTATTTTGAACTTCATTCTAGTATGTATTACGCAGCATTTCAGTATCTATTTTTGATCCCTACACTTCTGTTTAAAAATCTGTAGTTCAAACCTATAATATAAAGGCCTTACAATGTATGAATCAATTCAATAGAGGCAACAAAACACATACTTTTTAAAAAAAAGAAAGGAAAATTGAAAACTCGTAAAGCAGATCATTTCTCCTAGCTGTGAGAGTCCAGCAATAAAAAAACAGAAACCTAATTCAACTGAAATTACCATGTAATACAAGCACTAGCTTACGATCTTTTCCATCTAAAACGTATTTGTCCTCTCTGAAGCAGATTCTCCAGAAAGCCTTAAAACAAAGATAGACATTTCTTACTCTTCAGGCCAGTGTTCACTTGCTTGAATAGCTTCCAATATGGTGTCTGCTGCGGAGTACTTTGAAGTTTGAAAAATCCTATGTTGAAAAGAAGAAAAAACATAAATAAACATTCAGCAGAACTGCAATACATTACTCTAACAGTAACACATAATAAATATTTCAGACAGAGGAATAATCATTGATATTATAGTGAATGCCAAGGAAAAAGCACGCAGAAAGAACTTCAAGCTTTCATAAGATGCAAAGTAGGATCTATTTCCAAAGATTCTCAGCTAGGCTGCACTGCATGCAAGCTTCTAGTTCCACAGATAGACTTGTGTATGTATCTGTTACATGTCATATAGTAGAAAAAAAGGAAAAAGTTATGTAAAGTCTCCTCTGGAGCACAATCTTAATCCTGCTCTAATTGGGAAAATTCACTGATACATGAGGAAGCTTACATTTTATTAAACAGAACCAAAAATAAAGTAACCCAGAACTAGACACATATATATTAAGCTATCTTAGAAGCTTTAAAAAAATTATCTTCCACCAACCAACAACGTAGCTTTGTCATAAAATAATCAAAGGACAAGCAGGTATTTCCCTATGTGCAGGTGGGTTTTCTTATGCTCCTAAAGGAACCCTAAAGCACTGCTACTACTCATGAAAAGTTTTGAACAAGAGTGATCTTTTCTCATTTTGGACACCAAAGTGCAGTTTTCTATACACATTAATGGAACAGGAAATAAACTATGCATTTTGATTAGTTTAAAACAACTATTTTAACTGCCATTTCTCTTTCTTAAAACACCATCTCAAATTTAATAAAATGAGTTACAAAGTTTCACACAAAGTTCTTGTGTGCTTTTATATCTCTGGTCTTTGGAAAATACTCTTTCTAAAATTTAAAAGCAAGAGTTTAATAAATTATTATTTTCAACTACCTCCTTCACCTGCCTGACAAAGATTCTGGTGTGCAGAGCAGAACACGTACGTGTGCCTGAGCTGCTTCAGCAGATCACGTCTCCACTCAGTTTCAACCCATCCTCCTGGCATTAGATGTTGCACAAAGGTGGCTGAGGTGTACACACATTTTCTCTTTTATGTTTTGTGGGCATTAATTCTGACAGTGATGCAATAGTGAAGAAGGTAAGGAGAATAACTACAACAGCTTGTGTAGTTGTTCTCTGTAGGAAGAGAACTAAAATTCCAAGAATTTTCTTGTAAAAAGCACAAGGTTTATCCTTGAGACATTCTATTTTACTGAAAATAAATGTCAGAAAGTTCAAGGGTTCTGCCACAAGACTACCGAAGGAAACTGTTTTAATAACTTATTCTGCTCTTTAAACATTATTACCACTTTGTTTCTCCAAAGCGTACTTGGGAAGACTCATAAATTCCAGAACTTACGAGTTTCTGCTTATTTTTCTAACAAAGATCACAACACCTCCCAGCGTGCTGTTACACACTTGTAACTCACACTTGTGGTCACTGGAAAGGCAGTTGAGTTGCACAAGCCTTCTTCCAAGTTTAAAAACAATCCCCATGGTGCTCTTTGGATTCCTGACGCGTGCATTACAGAGTTTCTAATTAATCGCCAGTTACTTCTGTCATAAGCTCCAGCATTAGACGTGTTTCTGAAGACCACTATCTCACTTGAGGAACTACAGTGCAGTTTTAAGATGTGGAGAAATGAACATACTGAAAACCAGAAAAGAAAGCCTTCTTGTTTCATGTGGCCTAAACCAAGACTTCATTAGAAACTTTCAGACACAAAGGACTTCACAGCTCGGCCCTCCTCCAACTCATGGCTCGTTAGCACGCTCACTTCCAACCATTCCCATGTTCTCGTCTGATAAGCACCTTTACAAACTACTGCAATTTTATGACCTAGAAGTACCAACTAGAACAAGTCAGAGGCTCATGCCTCTTTAGCAAATAACTCCAGGCAACAATCTGAAAGCACAGACCAACAGCAGCCAAGACTGACACAAACACAGAAACCTCAGTGAACATTTGCAAAAAAAAAAAAAAAAAAAAAAACCAAAAAGCCAAAACAACCACAAATAAACAAACACCAAACAACACAATTTCAAGTCTCTATACCAGATGAGGACATGACAGTACTACGGACATGAGCATCATGAGACCACACAGCTCAACAGAACAAGTGTCCTGACATGCCACTGCATACTTCATTAGCTGCCATCAAGTGAATCATCTGCTGCACAACTCCATATCCTTTGGGAAAAAGACTGCATGCAATTTTCCCTTCATACAAATCTAAGCAGATTTGATACAAGCATTTCTCACAAATGTCCATCCCAAGAATACGCTAAGAAAGATATTCTCAGTTTGAGCCACAAAGTACAACATAGGAGAAACAAAAATACCCATCCAATTTAATCCTGAGATCCCCTCTGGGACATGGAACACCTTTTCGTGCCTCTATACAGACATCACCTCTATGAAACTTAAAACTTTATTTACTGAGGTAAGCATCAAATAAAGTAAAGAGCTCTACAAATGCCATTTGCAGAATAAATTGTGGGAGCCTTCCTCAATTTCAGCGACGGAAGATAAAACTTTCTGATACTGCTCATGCAATACAAGGAAAAACTCCCAAGAACATATTGCAGAAGGGAATCTTTTGGCAGTTATTATTATTTTATATTTTCTAATATGACTCAGATAAAGAACGGAGGCAGAATTATTGTCTTCAGAAAAGCAATGCAAATGTTTTTCCATCTGGTTGCAAACTAACTGCTGTTTTAAGACAACAAGAAATATAAGTATCATTAAAAAACCAAAAGAAAAAGTAAAATGCTTGTACACTGATGGTCTAAACACATTACTGCTTGACATCTCTTTGATAACCTGTATGAATGAAGCCAAAGATCAATGCCTTGCCTCAGTGAGGGATGCCACACTACACCCATATATTCCTGCTGACTTCTTAGATAAAAAAGCAGCCTTTCTTGTAGCTTATTTCTTACAGCTTAACAACTGAAGACAGAGCAAAGACAGCATTGAAAGGACTGCAAGCCATTTCCAGGGGTTGGTGTATGAGCAACAGAAATACATCCAAGCACAACAACAGTCCACTTCACTAAATGGGAAAGAAGATATTATTACTTTAATAATACCCTAAAATATTTCCAACTTTAACTATCAACCCTTGAAAGTTGGGCTTACTAGGCAACTGGTTTCTCCATCACCCGTTTCTACATCTGCAGATATGCTACATTCCTGAGACTATTTCTAACTACAGGAAAAGCACTAAAAGATGGAATAAGAGCACATAACATGAGACAAGAGCGTGAGATTTCTAAGTGTTCATTAATCACACCGTCCCCCTTAGTTTGACAAAATGGAGACCATAAAAGGGAAATATACAAACAGGTCACTGGAGGAAGACTAAAGTATCTATTGAACTAGTTTGGTCAGGAAAGAAACTGAGTGGGAAAAGTTACTGGACTCCAGTTAAACCAAGAAAAATTCTTCAAATGAAAAACTTATGAACCAACGTACCAAAATTTACTAAGAACTTAGTTTACATAGAGTGATGGAAACAAATATAATGCTGCAATTCAAAGATTAATAGTGTCATGCCACTTGACTCCTCCAGATGCAACTTCTTTCCTCATCCTAAATCACAAGAACAGTTTCCAAGAAAGACAGTGGTCCAACATTTGGACAATTACATCTTCAAGACTGACATAAAGGAAAAAATTCCCCACTGCAAGGAATCCTAACCCATAAATACATGCAGAATTGTCCCGCTCACCGTTACTTTCAAAGTGTTTGAAGGATGCAAACACATTTTTGGGAAAATTTAAATTGTCAAGTTCTAAGACAGACAAAAACATCTTAAAATAACTTTTTTTTTTTTTAATGGGTTTCGCAAAAAAGGTAATTTTAAAGCATCACGTCAACGTGTTTGTTTTAATCTGCCCACATCACTAAATTGTCTCTCTCAAAAAAGGAAACAAATGAACAATGTCTGTTTCACACAGAATCACAGAATGATAAGGGTTAGAAAGGACCTCTGGGTCCTTTGGGTCCTGCTAAAGCAGTTTGCCTACAGTTTTAGAGCTTGAGTAGCCTCTTAAAAGGGGTTCATGTCACATCTTTCAGATAACACCGCTGACAAGTTTTTAAAAAACACACTGTACTTTCAGCAACATTTCTCCATACTGAATTCTTGGAGTAATCTTCAAAAGCATTTAGCAGCCACAGCTCATGTGAAATGAGTAGGTGCTGAGATTCCTCAAAATTCTTGAAAACATATAAGGCTTAAAATCACAGCTCTTTTTCCAATAAAAAGAACAGCTTTCATCTGAAGAAGTTAATAGAGCTTGATCATCACAAAGAGCAGCATAAATTGTTATCAATCCAACTATCGTGTTGCACAAAGTAAACCAGCAGATGCACTGTAACTATGCATGTGCCTGTCCTTATCACGCTATAAGTGCAAAGCAAATTCATACAGCTCACAATGCGCTGTCATTTCAGAGCAGCTGGTACCTGAAGTTTTTATCCTACTCGATTTCCCACCAACCTCCCTGCGTGCTCTAGCAGCTGGACAGATCAATAGGAGGGAAAGCCGTTACAACAAAGGTGTGATGACCGTCATGATAGAAAGGTACTTTAAAGGAAGGGAAGAAGATTGCTCACCCGTATCAGAAGATGCTAGTTTTGCAGGGGAAACCTGCACCAAGGAAGGATCTCCAACTAGACACCCTTCCCCAGTGGCAGTCAGCCCTTAAACGAGGTCTAAGAGAATTGCAGCCAGGCTCCACCCCTGCCGGTCACACAGCTGAACTGCCTTCACCTGTGCTCCCAGGCTGACCAGGTCCTTTCCCCAGGCGCTCAATCGGTGGTTCAGGCTGTGACTCAACAGTTCCCACACATGTGCCTTGACTGATGCATAGGGCCTGGCACCCAGCTCCCTGCATTGGTTAACTTTCAAGGGTATGCATAATAGTTTTTGCTCTTTGGTTGACAAAAACTGTGTAAGTCAGTCCACGCTGCATTGGAAGTCCCATCAGCCCCATGCAGGAACAATGAACAAGTCATTATTTAGCCTGAAAGAAAAAGATGTACACGGGAGGGGGAAGAAACCATTTGAGTAGATAAAACCCAAAGATTGCTATTCGTGTTTTTTAACAGTTAAATTACAGTATAGGAATAATTATCAATTTTGAAATGCTTATCCAATAAAAGACACCATCAAAAAGCTGACCTGTGTACCAATATATCAAAATCAGAGCCAGACAAAAATCATCAGAGGACTGACTGTTAAAACCCTGCCTTGAATCCTAAGCACATTTATATCTGCATACAAACGATTATAAGCATAACGATTATAAATAGGAACTTGATGGTGTCAAACAACACAGGTGTAAAGACAGATGCTAAAAGATCTTACGCCTGATGGGCCTAACTTTCCTGAGAGGAGGATTACTTTTTATGGCTGCTCGTCTCAGTCTCAAAAAAGACTCAAAAACCCCTCTCTCTCCATGCAGACTGTTATTCATTCTGTCCCCTGTAAGTACGGATAATACTGCTGAAGGGCTCAGATTTCTTCTACAGAAGTAGACAGAGCTGCATTTCCTCACACTGCTGAAGTTAAACAACTTTCATGAACTGAAGTTTGTAGATGCTAAAGATTCGTGGCACTTACACAGAGCAAAGAGTGCAAAACGTTTCTTAAGAACTGAAACTGCATGCATCAACCTTCACGTCAAAGCCACGCAGCCAAGTGACAGAATTCTGCTTACTTTTTAACCCTGCCCACAAAAACGTGTGCCAAGCTGGGAATTAGGAGGTTTTCACATTTCACTGCTTTGCACCTCAAAAGGAAACAGGAGCATCACTCCACTCGGGTAAAATCGAGATGCCCCCTATCCGCCCTATGCCAAGCACACACGGCACCGAGCTGCCGCCGGGATCCTCGCCCTGTCACGCCGGGAGGAGGCCGGCCCGCAGCCCCCACCTGGAACCCGGCAGCTGCGAGCCCCGGCCTCGCGCTCCCCCAGCTGAGCCCCTTCCGAGCCCCCACGCACGCAGGGGGCCCTGCGGCCACGTGCCCCCGCTGCTCTCCGTCCCGGACCCGCCGCCCGCCCAGCCCCGGCCTTCCCAGCCGCCTCGCCCAGCGCCAGCCCTGCCTTCCCGGCTCCCGCACCTCCCGCCGTCACGGCTCCACGCCGGCGGGCCGCCACACGCGGCTCCTCTCCTTCCCACCGCCTCGCTTCGCCTCGGGAAACGATTCCAGTTCCTGCCCACCTCTGTCACCTCGCGGTGCGGCGGCCGGGCCTGACCTTCCGCCGGCCCGCCCGGGCGGCTGCCACATCCCTCCTGCCACGCAGCCTCGGGCGCATCCTCGCCCGCCTCCCCCCCCTCTCCGGGCCGGCCGGCCGCCCCCTCCCCGCGAGGACCCCCCAGAAGCCGGCCGCCTCCTCCCGCCTCCCCGCCCGGCCGGCATCCCGCGGCCCCGCTACCCGCGCCGGGCCCGCTCCCCGCCCTCGGAACGCGGCTCCCCCGGCGCCGCCCGGCCGCCTCTCTCCCCGCGGCGGGGCGCGCAGCCCGCGGCCCGCACCCCCCCCTCCCCTCCGGGCCGCCGCCCCCGCCGCCGAGGTGCGAGGGGCGGAAACGGGTCGCGGCGGGGCCGCGAGGAGAGCAGGCCGCGCCGCGCCGTGCCCCGGCGGGAGGAGGGGCGGGGGAGGCCAGCGACGGGGCGCGGGGGCCGGAGGGGTTCGGGCACCGGGAGCGCGGCCTGCTCGGAGGCGGCGGGGAGCAGCCCGGCCCCTCGCACGTACTCACCGCCGGGTTCGCCATTACGCGGCGGCGCTGCCCGGCAGGAGGCACGCGCGCGGGGAGGAGGCGGAGGCGATGCCCCGCGCCTGACAGCTCCCCGCCGGGGCGGCCCGGGGGCGGCGGTGGCGGCGGCTTCCCCCACCCCCCGGGGGATTCCCGCGGGCCGAGGGCGGCACTTACCGGGCGGCCGGCGCAGGCCGGGAGAGGCGGGCGGCGGCGGAGCGGGCGAGGGCGGCGCGGCGTGACTGGCTCGGCTCGGCTCTCCTCCCCCCGCCGCCCGCCCGCCGCGCAGAGCGGCGCAGCGCAGCGAGGCCGGGAGGGGCGGCCGGGCCGGGGGCGAAGTTTCACTCGCTCCGCGCCGCGACCCCACCGGCCCCAGCGAAGCCGCGGGGACGGGCCGGGGGGCGCATTTGCATATTTCTCACCCCCGCGCTGATTGGCCGCCCGGCGCGGGGGCCGCCGCGCGCTGACACGGCGCCGCAGGAGGGAGGGGGGGAGCGAGAGGGGCGTGAGCGGCGGCGGCGGCGCGGGGCCGCAGGCTGGGGGAAGGAAGAGGAGGGAGCACGGCGGCGGGGACGGGGCGGGCGCGGGGGGCGGGCGGGGAGCGACGGGCGGATTTCCTCCCCGGGACACCTTCACCTCACCCCGCAGCCCCCGTGGGAGGGGGCGGCCCCCGTAAGGAGGGGGGCGGCGCGGGGCGGGCGGCGGCGCCGCCGATAAAATGGTGCGCGGGCGGCGGGGCGAGCCCATCCAATATGGCCCCCTTCTCCGGCAGAAGCCAATCCCGGGCGCGTTTACTCTAGAGGCGCCGGCCGAGGCCGGACCCGCGCCGCGCTGCTCGGTGAGCTGCCGCCCCGGCGCTGAGCGAAGCGGCGCCCGCCCGCAGCGCCACCGCGGGCGGCGGGGGATTCCCGGGCAGCGCGGGGGCGGCGCGGCCCCTCGGCAGCAGCGCGGCGCGCGGGCGGTCTCGAGCCGCTGCACAGCGCCGCCGCCGGGAGCCGCCTCACAGCGCGACACGGCGGGAGCCCGAACCGCGCTGGGGGTCGTTACACGGCAGCCCGGGGTCAGGCAGCGTCTGAGGCAGACCAGACGCTTCCCTAAGGGAGGCGGTGCGGCGAGCCGCCGGTGACGTGCCTCACTGTTCCTGCAGCAGCGTTCTGGTACCGGGCAGAGCTGGGAGCACGCAGAGGTGCGGGAGGTAAACAGGTGCAGGCACAGCACTGCACCGTACAAAACCATTTTGGAAGTGGGTTGCTGAAGGCCCAGAGCATCTAAAGCTTTACAGCTAAGCTGTACTCCTTCACATGTTTGTTTTTCACTCGTGCAAAACACAGTTCCCCACATACCAAATATTGATTGAAAGATCAAACTGTAGAAGTAGCAGCTGACAAAACACACTCAGACTACCTGAGGTAACTTGTCACGAGCAGAGCTACAGGTTCCTGCTGCAGGATCTGTTTCCAACACAACATTACCTGCAGCAGAGAGCTGGAAGGAGACCCCGGTCACTCAGAAGCCCTGAGGGGCTGCTTGCTGCTGTCTGTGGCAGCACAGAGTGAGAGCTCTCACTGAGAAGGCTTCAGCAAAAAGGATGAGTTGGGTAAAGGACTCAGTTGAGCCTTACAGGAATGCAAGAGCATTTCCTCTTACCCACACCTCAGCGCTGAGCCTGTGTGGTATATACACAGGGATAGGAGAAGTCTCTCCCTCAGGCTCTTCCTGCCACATGACAACAAGGGATGCACATCACTTCTCTGCAACCTGTTGCTTACATATTTCAGATGTATTTCGAGTGTTTCTCACCATAGCCAACAACAGATCCCCTGTGTGTAGACACTTCACTGTGTGTTGCCATAAATAAGTTCAGAGTTTCTGAACAGCTCGCCTAAGCTTGCCTAGACAGAAACATAAGAAAGGGTTTTATTTTGTTTGTTCAGAAAACAAGCACTTAAGCAAGCATCTGAATGGGTGGTTTAGCTTTCTAACACAGTATCTTCTCCCCACTCCCCAATTTCCTCACAGCTAAAGCTCAATCTTCTCCCACGTTGTTCA